AGCAAGGCAACCTTCACTGTCACCTGCGGTTCATGGAAGGGTCTAGGATTGAGGGTTTAAGGTTTTTGGTTAGGGGTTAAGGGTTTTAGGGTTTAGGGTTTTGGGGTTTTAGGGTTTAGGGTTTTAGGGTTTAGGGTTTAGGCTTAGGGGTTTGGGGGTTTAAAGTTTTTGCTTCGCCTCAGGTTCTTTTCAGGGTTTAGGGGTTCGGGCTGTATATGGCTGAGTCTCTTCAGCGTTACCCGGGGCTCTATGAGCTACTACAAGGGTTTAGTACTGTTCATATAGTGGCCTATGTATTCTTCCGCAGGTGTTGGGGAGGGCACAGATGAGCCCTAAATTCGAAGATGAACCCTAAACCCTAAATCATAAACCCGATGGGAATATGGGAATAAGGGGATACTCTTACTAAGCGGTCCGACCTCGGGTTCCGGACTAACTGTTGAAACCACCTCCATCTCGTCGAGACGACCACTCCATCCTCACTGTGTTTAGGGTTATGGTTTGGGGTTTAGGGTCATTTAGGGTTTAGTTTTCCATCCTGACTGGCTTGCAAAGTTGACGGTGACGTTCTCGCCACTTACGGCGACAACTGTCCCAACATCGCCGTACATGGTCCCGCCCCAGCCATAGGACGGTGTCACTCCCATTCGGACTTTCAGTAGGTACCCAACATCGATTGTGCTCACCTGTGGTTGCTCGCTCACCGGCGGCTCTGGCCGATAAGTCGGAATCAGTTCCATCTCATCGAGTTTTCCACTCCATCCTGAATGACGTGGAAAGTGGACAGTGCAATTGTCGCCTGTGATGCCGGCAACTTTGCCCCAGTGGTCAGGCTGGACAGAACCCCAACCAAAGGCTGGCGTCACTCCGTCTTTGACTTTCACAAAGTCTCCCACCTCGATGGTTGTGCGCACCAGAGCTTGTAGCGGCTGCCCCAAATCGAGGCCTGCATCTGCCAGGGTCTGCCGCTCATCAAGCGACGAGCCATCTGCATGTACCAACTTCGCAGCGCAGACACCCAACAAGCGAGCCGCCTCCACTCTAATTGTACCAAGTGACGTGCTGGCTGTCACGGGAACTTGGACTGACCGTCCGCTAAGGAGGGACACTGTGACGCTCTGGCTCTCCAAGCTCACCCCTCCAGCCTGCTCAATCTCGGGCACAAATGAGGTCTCAGACACGTCCAACTTCTTCTCGGTGATGCCGGGCTGACACATGAGCAGAGCATGCAAGCAATGTTACCGAGATCCGGATGATGAATGACACGATGGCTTGTCTAAGTTCACTGGAGGACACAAGCTTGACAACTCCATGAGTACATACTGTGGAACGCAGGGCACCATGATGGCAAATGGCTGCGCACAATGCTCGGCCTCGAAACTTGTGCGGGAATGCACGGCCAGGAGATTCGATAAACCCTAAACCCTAAACCCTGAGCCCTAAAGCCAGTCTACCTCACTTGACCCTCTGCATCTCCACCACGAGCCCACTGAACCGCATCTGAGTTGATCGCGGGAGGCCTTCAACCGCAAAAGCCTAAACCTTAAACCCTAAACCCTAAACTCCCTAAACCCTAAACTCCTGAAACCCTGAACCCTAAACCCTTGAATTCGTCTCGGCTTCTGCTCGCGGTCAGTCCATTGCTCTGCCTTTTCCGGTGAAACCCAGACCTCTTTGCCTCAACTCTCAGTCAAGTAATGAAGCAGGGGTTTAGGGTTTAGGGGTTTAGGGGTTTAGGGGTTTAGGGGTTTAGGGGGGTTTAGGGTTTAGGGGTTTAGGGATTCAGGGTTCAGGGGTTTAGGGGTTTAGGGGGGTTTAGGGTTTAGGGTTTAGGGGTTTAGGGATTCAGGGTTGAGGGGTTTAGGGGTTTAGGGGTTTAGGGGTTCAGGGGTG